GCCCGTGGATCTGGTGCCAGCGTTCTCATGGGGATGCTCATTTCCTTAGAGTTGAGTGTTGAGTTCTTGTGTATTTTGGACACGGGTCCTTTGATCAGACGTGAGTTTCATAAATAGTCCCCCTGATGGTGGCTGTTCTTTGTACTCCATTAACTGTGTGTTTCCCAGAGCCAAAGTCAGTCAATACACTGAGGCCGATTTTATCCATTTGTGTTTATGGATCATGCTACTGGTGCTCTTTCTAAAAACCCGCCCCCATCCCAATGCCACCCAGATCTGCTGAGGATAAACCACCTTCTGGAAATGCCACTGTCTCGCGGTTGACGCGTTGGTCTGTGGTCCATTTTGAGTTGACTTCTGGGGAAGGCGGACATCTGTGCATGGGTTCCCTTTCATCCACCTGTGGCTGTCTAGTTAGGGGGCCTTGGTGATATAGTGGTTATGTGTTGGTCTACTCACTGCAAGGTCAGCAGTTTGAAGCCACCAGCTGCTCCTCAGGAGAGAGACGGGGCTTTCTACTCCCGTACAGATTTGGGCTGTCCAGTGAGTTGCTCGGACAGCATGTGTTGTGAATACTCTTCTACCACCATCTAACTGCCCAGGCTCCTTTCCCCAGAACCAGCTGGCTGGCTGGGTGGGGCTCCCTGTTGTTCTTAGTGGAAATGGATTTGGCCTCCACCCTCCATTCATGGGGATCCCACACACCACAGGAGGAAAAACTGCCTGGTCCCGCGCCATCTGCATGACGGTGTGTGGATCAGACTGAATCCCCCCAGGGCTTTCCTCCTAGTCTGCCTTTGCTAGGGAGCTCCCCTGGAGCCGGTTCGACATCACAGTGGACAGTGGCTGTCCATGAGATCAGTGGCCAAGAATTGAACTCCTTGGCGTCAAGTGGCCCAGCATAGACGGTAGGGGTTCCACAGTGGGCCTCCCCGCACTGCCTCCACGAGTGTAGGACATTTAGCCTTACGGGGGGAACACTCTTGTTATCTGTTGCATGGAGAAGCCCTCTGGATCGAACCCCCACCCCCCAGTCGGCCCGTGAAGATGGGTGGCCTGGCCCTGTGAGTCTCCAGTGGGCCCTGTGGAACTCATTACTGCTCTCTGCCTCCGCAGGGCACTTCTGGTCAATCGGCACAGGCTCCTACTATCTGGTGTTACAGGAGGAAAGTCTACACAACACTTAAAATGAAAGCAGCAGGCAGACTCTGGAGGGGCCAAGGGCCGCATGCTCCACCCAGAGGCACCTTCGGCGGGGCCTTGAAACACTGAGGGAGCAGTCCCTCCTGGCACACCTGTGCAGGTGACCCAGAGCTGAGCAAACAGCCAAGGGCTTGTTGGTTTGCTGAGGGTGAGGAGGGGGGCGGGGCTTAACATCCTGGCCACACCTGGCTGCCTTTGGTGGAAAGGTGTCCACCACTTCCTCTTAATTAAGGGCACCCATTGGTGCAGCGGTAAAGCGATCTGCTGCTAACGGACGGGGTGGCAGCTCCAAAGCAAAGCCCATTACAGACAACCCGAATACACCAAACCCACGGTCCTTCGGGTGGATTCCTACAGGGCAGGGTGGAACTGCCCTGCGGTTCTGATGGCTGCAGATCTCTTTACACAATTCTTTACAAAGCCCCACTCTTCTCCCCCAGAGGGGCTGGTGGTTTTGAACTGCTGATCTTTCGGCTTGCAGGCCAGTGCGCCCAACTACACCCCCAGGGATCCTTGCGGGATGGCTTTGGTAAAGATTACAGCCCTGGAAATCTTGTGCGACAGCGCGGTTCTCTCAGGGAATCAACTAAATGGCCTGCCGTTGGCTTTGGGCCCCTGCAAAGTAACCCGAAGCATTGTACCAAGTTCAGTGCGAAATTTTGCAGCAGCTAAGGAGGAGCAGAGGCAGGGAGCCCAAGGGCCGAATTTTGGTGCGCAGCTACTAGAAAGTATGCGGTAGCCAAGGGCCACAGCCTATGATGCCGAGCGCTGTACTGATGTCAACTTGTTATTTACTTTCCAAATCTGAATGACTGAGCAAGGCGAAAGGAGGATCAATCAAGCACAATGTGACCCTACAGGCGGAAAAAACGCTGCGCTTCACCCCCCTCCCCCCCAGCTGCGGTGGGGGCTGGGGAGCACGTGTAAGCAGGTCCGAGTTGCATCACGAGCTAGCTCGCCTGGGTTTTCGGTTGCACCCTAGGCTTTTCAATTGCGAGCGATCCCTTGGCCTCAGCCTGCAAGAGCCCGGAGCAGCGCCGGGCTGGCTCCAGGAAGGCCCCCCCAGGTCCTTCTGGGGGGCTTCGAATGGCCACTGATACGTTATCAGCCCCGGCCGTTCTGCTGATTCACTATTATGGAGACTGTGTAAGTGTGGACTTTTTCTTGATGCGCTCTGATAATGGCGTGGTCGCAGCCGCCTGACATCACAGTCCTTACAGGGGGATTCGCAGACCCGCCCCTTCAGAACTCACCCCTTCCCCGCCCTCCACTTGGTTCAACAAATGGTCCAGTGTCTCCAGGACAGAGTGAGGCCATGGTGCAAACTGCCTAGTGGACTGGGCTCTGAGCTCGAAGCCCACTGCATACCAGAGGACATGCAAACGACTTCAGAACGCCCACCTGGGCTGACACGGGGGGGTGGGGTGGGGGGGTGGGCACTGCCACCAGCTAAGCAGTAGGGTGGGCCGGGGAGGGGCAAGGAGACATGAAAGGGAAGGGCGCTGGGCACACAGGCGCACCAGGGCTGGGCCTAAGGAGCCATTGCCACAGCCCATACTTTGCACTTGCCCCGAGGTCTGGAGCCTGCTGTTGGGGTGGAAGTCTGCAGGCCTGGGTTCCTGGCCCCCACCCGCTGTGCCCGTTTCTCCCCAAGCATTCTGGGGTGTTTTGCAAAAGACAAGCCTTTGTAGAGTTCTCCCTTTTGGGGAGGGGACCAGGCACAATTTCGGTGTCCTGGAGACGCAGGTTGCAGAGGGTTCTCCTGGGAGCGCTGTGGGTGGGGGAGGGGACCCTCCAGCTGTGGCTGCCCCCCTACCCCCCTTCCGGGGGCTGTGGAGACTGGTG